ACACACACACACACACACACACACACACAATTTATTACGCCCGGCGGTCAAGCCGAAAGGGCAACTAATGCTAATCTATTAGTACATTTCTCAAGATACGCCCTAGACCGGACACATTGCAAACTTTCCCGCTGAAACCCATAGTGGGTCGGTTAGACTCCCAATTGAGCGTAGTTCCCGGTTTTATACCAGCGGTAATAAATCGACTTTGCTAGGGTCCTGCATTAGCGGCTGATCTTCGTTCTGAATCGCCTTGTCGCCCAAGCATGATGGGCCCTAACCTATCCGAAAAACCTTCAATGAGCTATGAGGGACCCTGTTCGATCAGCAAGCCATGTTTTCGAAGACGTTAGTCGCTGACCATGCTCCCTACCTCCTGGGCGAGACTTTATATAAAGTTGCCTGGCTTTCCCAACGGAACATTTGTACGGAGCACGCTCCACATTCGAGGATGACAACGACTTCCCGATTGACGCTTTAGTCGTCGTCACGGAAGGTCGCGTCTGCAAGCTGATCCAACATCTCCCGGATGCACTGAAAAGGGAAATCTCTTGTTATCCTACGCTTTTCGAGCCTGCATTGGGTGCGTGGAGGGCTACGATAAAAAGGGGGCGGTCACCCATAGCTGGTCAGAGGCTGAACCAGTTTATGAAAGATAGGGCGAAAGGTCAGATAACGGTCGATAAAGGTGCCATTACTCTCTGTGGACTGATACGAAAAGGATGGCAGAGTCAAGCATTTTATCTACGGTGAGCCGTCGGTACTTATATACTCCGATCAAGGTGCTGATTTGGAACGAGTAGAGGCATTGTCGAAGAAGTGGAATTAGAATAGGATTTTCGTTGGAAGACCTGGAGAAACAGCAGGCCACTGCTTTTTTCAGAAGCTGGGCAACAGGGGTTGCGTCAGCTGCGAGAGGGTGAAAGAGTCTCGTGCGTAGGTTTATAAACCATGCTTGAGCTCTGGGAGCAGGAAATCGATGCTGAGTAGAATTCGTTCTACTGGTTAGCTTCTAGTTCGCTCTAAATATGTTGTACAATGTTACGAACCAGGTCACGGATGAGGTCGCCAGGACGGGTGCCCCGCGTTCCGAGGGACAGTTTGAGGAAAGTCAGCCGGCGTAGAACGAGGCTGCATCACGTGACCAGAGGAGTGCATTGGCGCAAGGCAGCACTTCGAGCATTACATATACACGCTCTTTCACCTAGATAGAACAGTTCGTAGTTAACTTCGTTAGCAATCCTATACCTACATTTAGGATACAGTCCGACGATTGGATATTCCCTTTGTCATCCTGGTTAACACTCTTGTGTCCACTCTATCAAGGAACCCTACCTTGGTCAGAACTGCTTGCAGCTCGGATCATAACATACAATTCCCCGGTCAAAACACTGAACAAAACGCTTCCAACCCCGACGCCTGAATTCCGCGTGAAGCATAGAAGGCATCCGGTATGCTCTGCTTCGAGAATATTAGAATGGATGCATAGAGTATCTAGGGTAGTGAAACATCGCTATAACTTAATTGTGAACGTCCTTATTATGGATGTCCTCGGCCCAAACTGGGCAAGGCTGAGGATGAAGTAAGCGCTTATAGCCATCACGTGATAAAGCCCTCCATCTTTTCGGCTGACCTTCCTAATGTATGAAATGGGTGGTTTGTCCTTAGCGACCTCCAACAGGCAAACTTTATTCATACTCCTCCCATATTCTTCACGCTCAGATACCTGCTAATGGGTCGTTACGCATCAGTCCGAGAATGGTGTGAGAGTATCGGGATAACGTCGCCGAAGGAACAAGACTGGCTTAGAAAGGCAATACTGGGTTTCTGCAAAAATCAACCCCCATTTGGCGGGACCAACGATGCTATCCGCCCAATCGCTCAAGCCCTTTATCAACAATGCAGGCAAAAATCATTTTCGATCTGGTAAAAGCACTGATAAAGAGGTTCTCCAGGCTATTATAGGTGTCATTAAGCTGCAGCGTCGATATCAACGTGATAATCGTCTACGCCTAGATCTAATACCACTCTCACACCGTGGCCAGAGATCACAGCATCGCCTCTCGGAGGATTCTGACACATTCACAGAAGCTCAATCCTACGCCGGTAAGCCAACTTCAAAGACGATTCACTCTATGGTAATGGTAAATAACACCTGTTAGGCACTATTTGCGTTGATTCACCTTCCCCGGAGCCTCGAGGTACGCAGGTTAATTCCACCAGAGACCCCACTATGCTATCGAGTAACTACCCTTTCCTGAATCATAAGGGAATTGGAATCACTAGATTGAATGGACCATCGACAATACTCCCGTATAGCCGTCGAACTCGAAGTCAGACTGCATTGGCACAGGATAATGTTGCGAAAGCAGTGAAAGGCGTCACCTCTGACCATGGGCAGTGGGCACAGTTGCACAACCGGCGGGATGCCCCCGTTAAGCATTCTTCAAAACCTCGAATCATCTCCACTACCTCAATACGACATGATTTTAGCCCCAGAGGAGGCCTATGTGGAAAATCCACGGCTAACGTATCGTGGGGAATTATTCCAGTTCACGTCACTTCAAGCCAAGTCCCAGGCTCTGGAAGCCGCTCTGCACGAGATAGAGGCTGATTATCAAGAATACAGCAAAGTTCTGGAAGCCACGGACGGAGATCAGCACCTGATCTATGTGGATTTCTGCGAGGACGTCTTCAACCTCATCTGCGCCGAATTGGAAGACGGCTGCACAACGCAATGGTATCCATTGCAGGGGAGTGGGCACTCCTCGGAGATCTATGAATCTAACATAACCGTGGAATACGATAACCAAATCTGGGAATTTCTTTCCGTGCAGGACAAGGCTAAGACTTTGGAAGCTATTTGGGTCAAAGTGTTAAAATGCTTCAATGAAGAGATAGCCTTGGTTCAACAAGAGCCTCGTCCCCAACAGAACAAAAGGATTGAAAGATCAAGGGAAAGGAAGTGCGTGATTCATTTTATTACTATCTTATTTCCTCGCATTAGCCGCACTCTTGCGACGATTGGAGCCAAGGTCATCCAATAGGGAGACTTCCTGTTGATATATCTCGTGAGCAGCGATCGCAGATTCTGTTTCGAGTGTCTGGAAGCAGACTGCGGGGGATATTATTGCTAAGCGCGGGTATTCGGGTTTGGGCTAGACCCTCAAGAAACTGATATTTGCACTTCGCCCAACGACGGATAGAGACATCCTGAAGAAGGCTGCAAGTCTTTGCTAACTTGCCCGACCCTGAATTCCAGGATACTATGGCCGCTTGGCTGGCCTTCATGTGTTCTTCAACTCAAAGACGTGCTGGATGGTTCACATTTGGAAGGATGCGAGTAAGAATAGTAATCGGCATTTTTGATGGAGAAATAGAATCCTTTCTCCATTTTCTCTCAGCCGCCCAATTGCATAATGTAGGCCCTTGGACCGAGCCTTTCCCCAAATAACTGCGGCCGAGGATCGAGGACAAGCAGCGTAGAAGAGGCTCCAAGGTAATCGAGAACTGCAGGCTGGCAGCACCCGACTGAAAGGGAAGGAGTGAACATTGTGGTTTCTTTCCATTCTTTCGAGACCGCATCCACCCTTGTTCCACGGGTCTCCCTTCCAACAGGATTGCTTTCTTCCAACTCGTGTGTATCTCCATGTATGTAACATTCCTCCTTTTTCAGGTCTGCTCTTCCAGTGATGCTCCTTCACCTGAAACGAGATTCATCGCGTAGGGCCGGTTGCTAGCCTCGGGGTCTCGATAATTTCCTCCTGGAAACCCTGTCATCGGCCTTAGATAGAGCATTCGAGAGTGGGAGAAATATCAACACTCAAGCATGGTTAGAAGGGATGTGGCAAAATAGTAAGAAAAAAAGAACCTGTAGGGCGAGCTCGAGACCACTAGGTGTGCACGACGCTTACTCCAACGCAGCACCTGACAACCCCCTTCATAAACGACATCGGATTCTGGGGGATGTACTGTAATTCCACTTCGCATCTGTTAAAGACGCGAGTCGAATGTAATGTTCCATACAGTAGGCAGAACGCGGAAGTGCGAGTTTCGTATTAGGCTTGAAAATCATTCCTTTGAGCCTAGAACTCGATTCAACTGTGACGCCCAAATTTCACGCTCGGCTGCTTGCAGTTCTTGATCACATGACATCCCGTGCTTATGCCAAGACACGGAGCTGGAGCTTTTGCGTTTCAGCCCTTGGGTCACATCCTCCTGTCGCCGCTTCTGCGTCTCTAAAATATCGTCATAACTTATGATATGACCCCTTCCCACCACCTTGACGCACGAGTTTTCTTTTCGTTGTTCTGTATGACCAAATCTGCATTTTCGCTGAAGAGAAGATCACGTGCCGCTACAGACTCTTGGGCCGCGTTGGCAAGGTTCTGGAAACACTACTGACTCTCATCGTCAAGGGTGTGGATTTTCTGGTCCATCATCCGGCGCAATGATGCAAGGTTTTCGGCGGTCACTGGAGTTTTCAATAGCTCGCCACTAGGAGCTATTTCTGGTGTTCCATCACTTGGGACCGTTTCAGTCAGCGGTTTCTCGATATCCCGGAGGACGCGGTCGGGGTTAAAGAGGTAAAGTCCCGCTTTCGCCCACCCCGACTTAATATTCCGAGGGGTGAATGCGGTACGGCGAGCCTGGTTGTAAAGCTGGGTGAAATGTTGCTTACCTACAGTGTTGGACCCTCCACGGAACAAAGTTCTCCACCAGCTCACGATAAGTTGAAGCTCAGAACTAGTTGAAGCTCTGGACTGAAAGTGTAAGTGTGATGATATTAGAACTATCTGTGAGGATAGGCACGGCTACATATAGCCGTGACACTCGTAGGCAGCAGCAATGCTGCCTACAGGTATCACGTGATATGGGATCCAACTCGATATGCCATCTTCAGAGGCCCGAACACACTGACGTCGCATGGCTGCAGCTTGTGGGAGGTGTGAGCGGAAGGAATAAAGGACTGGGCGGAGCGGAGAGATCCTTAGATTGTATAGGAGGGCAAGAATAGTTTGGCGAAAATGATATTTGCGTTCAACAACACGTTCCAGGAGTTCATTTCTCCAACAAACCCAGCAGTGATCCCACTTCTCTTATGTGACGGTCGCGACGAGTAGAAAGAATCGATCTCCATTCTCGCTGTTGGAACGCATAATCGCGAAAACTCTCAGCTGCTTTGGCGAGAGCGAAGGCCTCCGCGATATCTTGCAATTTGTAGACAATGATCTCCAGTGTCAAGATTCCTCGTGATTTCGACAGACTCGTCAGGACACTGGCAGCCGCCAATGGAAACCATTTCGTCGAAGGAGGACATCTGAATTCCCAACGGGATGGTTCCACTTGCGCGAGGTGGGCGCGTCTGGCTGATTTTCGCACGATGGTGGGTGTCGCCATTTGGATTATAGCCGCCAGCGATAATTTGGGGAAGAGGCGCGTGAAAATGAGGCGGCTGAAGAAGCGGTGGTAACGGTGGCCAGCCTTCAACTTACATACGCACCGCTTGTATGCGAAACGGCAGTCGACACAGAATGATGTTGTTTTCATGACAGAATTGCAACACTTCGAGGGACTCGTGCGGGCCAAAAAATAGGGTAGGAGGTTGAGCGGGATGGGGAAGCCCTGTCCGGCCGCTCGAAGGAGGTGGTCCACGAGAGCCTTCTCTTCGCAAGGAGTGAGGTATTGCTTATTGGCCGCAGCGTGCTGTCTCGAAGGTCTGCCATGATTTCGATGCCACAATGACTTGCTCGATGCCTTCAGACTCTGGGTACAAAGGAGCAATCGACGGGTCATTAATGTGCCCACGTTGATAGAGATGTAATGAGCTTGGTTTTTTCGCGGTTGAAGTGGAGAAATAAACATGTCATCTTTTCCGTGTTCGGCTGAGGTAGAATGACGATCGGTGAGTACATGTCAACAAATCCTCCATCGAACTCTGACCAGTCCCTCGGCAAAGAGAGCTCGACCAGACAGCCTGGTGGCAGTTTGATTGTCGAGAGACTGCCCTTGTCGAGGAAACGCTAGATCACAGTCAGACGCTAGCTGATTCTTTATCTCTACTATCGTCAGAAAGCTGACCTATTGTTGGCGCACGAGCTTCTAGTATTCCTTGAACATCGTCTCTTGGTCAACACCATCAGAAGACGCCAACCACCGTTTCCCGATGGCGAGTGGCCAGTAAGTCTTCACCTAGTCGCCGACTCTCCTTCTTTTCCCCCTGAAACTCTCGGAGATCACGGAGTTTGGGAAGCAGCCATACAACAGATACGAACCCGGTTGACAGCCGCAAACGCGGATATGCACGGCAACTTGTCCTGCTGGGGAAATATATCCAGTATACCAGCTGGTGCTCAGGTGGCGGACATGTTGATTAACTGATGTTAGGCGCAGGAGAGGGGAAGGGGAAATGTTAGCGGACTGCTTCCCGGGTCTCAGCTTAACAAGCCTTTTGGCTGGACAGAGGTGTGCCGACGCCTAACGTCTCAGTTCAGCGATAGTAGCGGAGAAGGAACTGCTCAAGGGTCTACGATCGTAGGAGATGCTCTTCACATATAGCTATAGTTGGATGGAGGTGTATTCATTCGCCTGAACAGGATGTGGCACTGTCTTCCCGCATTAGTGTTCCGCGAAACGGCAAAACCTACCGAACAGGCTGCGCTTCCTGCATTAGCGTCCGATCTCGGCAAACCTACTGGATAAGCTTATCACCAAGGAAAGAGGGCACTCCACTATGTACAAGGGTAATTAATTTATATCCAGCAGATGCTAGGTTCTATCAGTCGGTCACGTAGGTTGGTTAGGAAAATTAAAATTAACTAACTTATCGGTTCATGTTAACACCCCCGGTGCTCAGTGCACAGATAAAGCCGCACAACAAATTGACATGCCATCACCACCTTTCACAGATTTCTGTGTCTCTCATCCCTCGCACTCTCTCACGCGTATTGCGTAGGCGACCCCTCCCCCCTCCTCACCCCAAAGTTCGCAACATCAAATGAAACCCTCCTTGGACGATGGCATGTGTGCCGGAGGGGCGTGTGTACCGCTCATCGTGGTCAACGAAGGTGATATCGCTATTCTCCCCGAGAACGAGGTGCCGCTCTCGGGCGGTGAGGCCGCACGCTCTGCGGGATGAACGTGGGAGCCCAAAGGGGGCAATTCGGAGACACCTCCACGGTCCGCGTGATCGTCGGAGCCTAAAGGGGGCAGTTCGTAGAGGCCTCTACGGTCCGCGTGATCGTACTCCGGTGGCTCTTGAGGAGGTTCAGGCAAGGCCTTCAACATCACGAGGGATCGTCGACTGTGGTCGTGGGGTCTGAGACCCGGGGGTCGAAGATAAGAGTCGGAGTGGTGTTGGTCAACCATGGGTGAGCCCGGCTGTTCCTTGGCAGGGCGGTCGTCAATTCGACTATGGGTTGCGGCGAGCTGGGTCTGGCGACGCCGTTGCCGGCGTCGCCTTTTCCCATAGATCACAGCGAGGACGACCAACAGCAAGAGGAACACGGTTCCCAAGACGACTGGGAGCGCGATCGTGATCGACGGATTCGAACGTTGGGGCTCGTGCGCGAGTTCCAAGCCGTATGCGAACAAGTGTTTGGTGTTGGCGCGCGCATTCACCTCCGTCAGGGGCGTCTCGAACGCGTACACCGTGTCGGTCAAAAGCGACGCACAGGGCGTCTGGCCGATGGCCGAGTTGTACAGAGTGAAATTACCCAACCTGGCCACCGAGTGTCAGTCATTCACAGCGTCAGCCGGTACTCTTCGACTTGTCACTTACACTGGACAACAGGCACTGTAGGACCCCAACCTCTGCGTCGTGTAGTCCTCCGGGCAGTCCGCCAGACGCACACCCTCCCGGAATCCGTAGGGACAACATTGCTGCCGGGCATAGCCGCAGCCGATCTGGACGTACGGGATTGGATTTCCGACGGAGTCTCTGATGTACACCGGGTAAGGGTCGGTGCAGCTGCTGCCGGTGAGGAGCGGTGGCCCCACGCCGGTTCGAGTGGTTGTGATGCTGGCAAAGTTGGTAGGAACCGGGGCGAGCGATTGATTTAAGGTTGACGTGACCACCGCTCGCCGAACGCCGGGAATTGCACGATCCCAAAGGCTCGGAGGAGGATGGAAAGTCGTCCGGTAGGCAATCGACGTCCTTGAAGGCAACCCCTCGCCGACGGAGCTTGCCCTGGCCATCTTCATCCTCACCGGTATCTACGGTGACTCTACACCTGACAGTGGCTGGCGACCGGGTAGGGACGAGTATTGGCCATGGTCCCAGAACGGCGAGGTTCCTTGTCTTATGGCACCACGTCATAGCGAGCAAGGTCGACTTGAGCACCCTCGATTGGATAGGACCGCCCTTTACCAGACGGTGGTGCCCGCGCCCTGGTACATAGCGCACCCTGGGACAGCGTCCCTCGAGATGGGTTTTGCGTCTAAGAACCTCAAAGGTTGGTTCGGCGCGGACGAATCACGGGTCGTAAAACTATCGGCGAATGGCATAGATGAGCAGGGGATCCCTCTGTCTATGTGTAGTGTGTGTAGAGTATAACGTGTCGCTCTGGGGGAAATATTGAAATACTGTGCCATATGGTCTTCGCCCTCATTCGTCGATCCGGGGTCATCAATTGACGGCCCACCAGTGTGCATCTCCCACGGTACCCTCGAAGTAGCACTTTCGTCGGGGCTTGGGCGACACCCACACACAGATGAAAAATCGCATCGACCTCGACTTGTTCATGGGTGGTCGGCTGCCTGCCGCCGACTCTCAAAGACGGGGCGCGTCGTGTCCAACGAAAAGGATCTGAACGGTTTGTGACTCGGGGAACGCAGCCCGTCTGGGCCCGAAGGCTTCTTATAAGTCTCGATGCACGTGAAAGCTCCTCCGCCAGACAGCCCAGGGCAAAGGGGGGGTGGCCTTGCCCAAGGGAGAGTAGCGTTGCATTTGATGTTTATATAGCTCCCCACCGATAGCCAGATTTTGTGAGGTGTTGCTCATGATTTCCGCGATAATGTGCCATTCGCCCCCCACTACGTTCAGGAAATAAAGTCTGAGGATGGCTCGAATTTGTCCGCGGTCGACCGCACGTATCACGTGACTGAGCTCCCATTCGGTGAGCGAAGGCTCGACGCCCATTGGCTCCGCACCCCAAGAGCGATCAGTGGCCGGTCTTTGCTTCCGCTCATTCGCTGCTGATGACTTCATGTCTTCAACAGTTCATGCCGTACCCATGCTCCAAGTCCCCCAAAATCGATGATTTTGCTCATCGAGCCCCTTGCTATCTAGGCGGATTGGGAATAGGTCTTCTCCTCTCTCTTGAAGTCAGGGGCACCATTGTCCGACTAGTTCTGGCCGCTGCACGGAGGGAAATCCTTTCCTGGACGGTGAAAGAACCCTCATTCCAGTGAAGGGGTTTTCTGTGTCTGGGAAACGGTCCCTAAACCTGGGTAGACTAGACGGACTTGGCCCCCGCCCAAAATTAGGTGCGAGCTTGAAAGCTTCGTAGGCCTGTCATTGGGCGGTGATATCAAATCCACATCGCGTGGAAAACTGGCCCGTAAAGCCGGTATGGGCAGTGTTGTGCTCTTGTCGATATGTACCGTGTCGCAGGTTCCATCGACGTGGAAAATGAGCACCTCGTTCCCAGCGTCCACTAAAGGAGCGCCGATCGTTGCAGTACATAGCGCCCGGCGGACGATCCAGTCCCTCCAGTTCGATCGTGGACTTGGAATATCACAAAAATATGGTGGACATGAGAAGCACCAGGGTGACTTGACGATCGCCTTCTCAAACCCGCCGGCGGTACTAAAGCACGAGCGGTCGACCAGCGTCGCACTCGCGTTGTTACAGTACTTCCTGCCCACTTACATATCTCTAACACAGGGGCCTATCTACGCCACGGGCCATCTGAGAACGTCGACACGGGGCAAACCCCATTCTGAAGGACAGCGGGCTCGATGGGGGAAAGCATGCGAGAGACACTCTTGGCCGTCAAAAGCGACACTGAAGAGGCAGTCGGCTTAGTCCACGGGGAACATATGGCGCCGCTCATCGAGCAAGTCGACCGGGTGACGCACTGTCCCATCGCGGCCGCGAGTCCCGGAGGCTCACCTGGTGAGACGGGCTCCTCGTACACGCCTTCCATCACAGTTACCGATTGGGATCAACAGCGAACGATAACTGGTCTTCGCCGGCCTCACCATTCCCTGCAAACGATCGTGGAGGAGCGTTCAGCTCTCCATGACACTCCAGTGTGGGAGTTGAATGAATCGGCTGATCTCAACGATGGGGACATTCCGGAACGGATGGTGTTCCTCGGGGCCGCCACCGCACCATTCGGGAGCGGTGGGCCACCGAAGCTCTGCGCGTGGCCATCGGAGGAGAATGCGGTCCCTGGCTACCACGGTTTCAAGCGATGGCTGACGGGGCGAGCGTGGCTGGCCGATTTCCTGTCCTGCTGCCTGTGTTGACCTGGCTGTCAAAGGTTCGAAGCAAGATCCGGGTGCATTGGCACCCGGGTCACGAGCGTGGCCAAGTGTCGAGATCTGCTCAGGAGGTTGGCCACGGATATCTCCCCACACCTTGACGAGATGGATTGTACCCGCGGAATAAGGAGTCTCGTGGTATGCCTCTCGGTGGTTCTCCGGCTACATGTTGACCCCAAGGCAGGAAAGATCCACCGGAGGGGTGCTCCCCGGACATCAGCGAAGGAGCCATTCTGGTGGAGATCCGACACTGGCAACCGAGCCAGGCCTGGCCTTCCTCAAGTGGGAAAGGTAAAAAACATATAGTATGGCGCAAATAGAACAGACACATTCGATATTTAGGGAAATCGGGGACATTTTCACATCCACTTGTGCATTGATGGCGTGAGTATACAGTAAAAGCCAGGTCCGAGATCTAGGGATAGTCAACGCAACAAGGATTCGCTGAAGTTCTTGTGACCTTTTCATAAGCCCAAAAGCTCCAGGTAGGTAAATCGTGCCTGTCTATTGTCAGACGACTATGATACTTACGTAAATGTGGAATACATAAGGTACAGTATGCCATCCCCGTCTTGTCTTTTCTCCAGTCCATAACTCCTCGGCTATTCATCGTCGTCGTTAGGCAGACTATGCTGTTCCGAATCTGGTATGTATAAATCGACTGGGACGGTATGTAATTACCTAGAGCAGAACCTGTCTCAACAAGTCGATGTATTCCTTGCCTTCGGTGACGCTCAGCAAGGGGAAATTGGATGCTGGTTGCCAGCAGAAAGCAGATATAGAAGCTGAAGGATGATGCGAATCATCAGAAGCAGGACAGACACCCACTGTCCCAAAGAAACCAAAACTTAGTGAGCCTGCAATGAGCTTTACAATTTAGATCTTGCATATTGTAGGTAGCAACCGCCACGTGACTTTCTTGCCTTTGAGCAATCACCTAAGGAACTCCCAACCCTTCACAGCCTCCCCGCTGGTAAAGATGCCAACTCGGAGAAGGAGCTTTTATGATCGCACTGTTGCGACTTTTACTACGATGCTCAACCAGCGAGCCCCCATATTGATTGTCTCCATTTTTGTTACATTTACCCTTATTTCTTGGTACAAGTCGACCCATATTCCACCAAATCCCTTTCTACGTCCCGACGGACTATAGTCATTCTCTAGGATGGATGGTGATGTCTTATGAAACTTCAAGAGAGATGCAGAAAATCTGATGCTTAATTCGCAACGATGCGAACAGCCTTTTCCGGGGCTTTTTGGGAAAATTGACAGACCTATAAATGACAGGCTGCATTCGTCTGTTACCGTTGATGAGCTGGATGCCGTGCCACAACAAAATGGATATGTTCGGGCTATGATTTACGATCAACAGGTACCCCATGTCCTTCTAGATGTTATGGCGGTATCTAACCTCAATGTATGTTTGATGCTAACATATCAGCCATATTCGATCAATATAGCTTTACGTTATCGCAACCACAGGCGGTATCTCCTCACGTGGAATCGCCACGCTTCACGCCTTACACCGTGCTGTCCTCTTCTCACCTAAACCTCTCCCAAACATAGAACTTGCTTTCAATACAGATGACCGTATTCCTTCGGTTCTCCTTTAGGGGTATGCCGGACGAGCGGAAGATAAGGATATATGGCTGATCCCTGATTTTGGCTACTGGTCATCGCCCGAGACAAAAGTGGGTTCTATGTGTGCAGTCCAGATGAAAGCCGCATTAGCCGAACAAGTCGACGGATGGCCATGGCAGGGAAAGGTGAAAAAAATCCTTCGGCGAGGCGCCACTATGGGTTTGGAATTACGGGAGAAATTCCTTGAAGTCACCCGGGATGAACCCTGGGCGGATGTGAAGGCCTTGAACTGGAAGGATAAAGACTCTATGGCCACCGATCTCAAGTCTATGCCAGAGCACTGCCAGTACAAATATCTGGCACCCACGGAAGGGAATTCCTACTCCGGACGACTCAAATACCTCCAAAGCTGCAAATCAGTCGTGGTCGCACACAAAATGAGCTGGATTCAACATCATCATCCTCTCATGCAAACAAGTGGGGCCCAACAGGATTTCGTCGAAGTTGAGCGTAACTACGAGGACCTCGAACAGAAGATCTTATGGCTTCGAAATCATGACTAGGACGCCGAAAGAATTGCTTCAAATAGCGTCATGACACTTCGTGAGCGGTATAGTTTGCAATGGCAAGACATAGGGTGCATGTCTCATGTTATGCTACAGATACCTTTGTGAGCGCGCGGACGCACTTGACTTGGGCATCTAATATACGAATTAAATATTGATTGTACATGATTCCCAACCTTCATAATGCTTATTCATGCCTAGAACCGTAGTAAATCCTACGTGCACAGCGCCATATGCAAACCTGTACTAAGGAACATGGGAGTATCCCAAAGATCTCGCAAGGCCCATACTTACCTCACAATCAATGAGGATCCTACTTGAGTCTCCGCTCCAATAAAAAGGACTCTACTGGCAACCCCCTCCAGACCTTCTCCCCATCCACAGATTTAAAGAACTCCGGTTTGAAGCTCGCCCTACTCCAACCATGAATCAATTCTCGCTAGTAACATACTTCTGCAGCCGGCGTCAAGGGATCGGGGTCAAACTCGGCCTTGATCTCCAGCGGAGAACTTCCCGAGGGTCGCGTTCCTTTCGGATTCGGCGATGGTTCCGGTTTTATTGAGCTGGCATTCCGCTGGCCAAGGTCAGGCGAATTATGCCGCGGACTGAAGGGCATATTGTGGCGAGGGGCAGAGACGGAAAAGATTTGGGGGAATAGGGGGGCGCGGGGGAGGGCAAAGGGTGTTGAACAAGAGGGAAGGACTATATCCCCTCGTAGAGGTCAATACGAGGCAACCAGTCCAATTCCCCTAGTGAGGTGTCGCTGTCGTGGGATGGTTCGCATCTAACCGGGTTTAGATAGTGGCCTTGTCCCCCATCACTTCTGCCGGGCAGGACAAGAACAGTACAGGCGGTTTCTGAGAGTCTCCATGAGCCCCTGCGGCGAGGCACCGGAAGGACCACCGACGAATCGAGAGGAGGCTGTCGCGTTAGAAAGGGAAAGAATGCTTTAATATCATCTTGCGCAGCTCGGGCAAGAGCCGTTTCGGTCGACAGCCATCTGTGGTAAAAGACAACCGATAACGAATAAGAAAAGAGGGACAACACGATATCCTTCAACGTGGGATTGAACCGTTGTGGGACAGGAGGGACATTGTCGCGGACAAAGCATGGAGCTCCACACCAGAATCACTATGAAGATAGTAAATTTACCCCAGCGTGACTTGAAGCATCCAGGTGGGGTGCTCTTTTGGGTTAGCGCGTGCCACCTCAAAACGCGAGTTATCAACACAAGTACTTAGGCGGCGCCGAGGCCTTAGAGGTAATTTGTAGAGCAGCAACTCACGTGCCTGCGCCGCGGTGGGCCCGTCCATGGAAACCAATTGATCCTGTAAGCTTTTGCCATAGGCTTGCCATCGCGATTTATATGGCTAGACACCCAGAAAAGGCGACAAAGAGTTACTGGGAGAGTCTCGCGCCTGGTACATAAAGGCCACCATTTAGGGTCCTGGATGAGCAGTAATCAAAGGCATCAAATCCACCGTCATTTCTCGATCAATAATCAACTACTCACCCAGGAGCAGTCGTACTGGCATCGCCTTACGTCGCTAACCTCTTTAATACGTAAAAACTGTCAGAGTGCGGTTAAACCGTCTACATGAGTTGCCGTTCACGAAAGGGAATGACTCTTTTTACGGGGCGCTCCAAGGACAAGGTTTTGCTAAAGAATAAGCCAATACCGGAGGGATATAAGACCTGGCAATTAGGCTGTTCAGGTGGATATACGTGGACCTGTCTATTCCACATCGGCTAGCAAGGCCCTGAGGCAATTGGTGATAAAGCAAGGCTATATCGATCCTTCGGCAAAGCACACCCTGTTAAACTTGCTCCCACTTATCAAGTGGTACAGGGGCTTTGCGAGGAACTCCGGAACCCCGATTCTACTACTACATACGTAGTATTTTGTGGACAACTTATTCCTCACGATAGATCTGGCCCATACCTTGCTCGCAATCGATATTGGCGTAATGGGCACTACACGCAAAATTCACCCTGGGCTCCCACCGCGTTTTTGATGGTTATGGGCACTGCGCCTTGTTGGCCGTCCATAGCGGCCTTTCGGCCTCTGAATCGGATCTTTTACCATGGAGATCTGGGAGTGATTGTTGCCTTGCCGTCGCCATGAGACCGCCATCGTACCGCGAGGCCCCCTACGTACTGCGACGCCGTGCTACGCCGTGCTTGCTGCCCTTCGCCAGGTGTCTCTCTTCCAGGCATCAACTTTAATAACACCATAGTAGATGGGTCCATCCACCACTTCCATCCCCTGAAGGGGGCCCCGTACATACCAGTAAAGTGCCCGTCTCTTCTTCTATCCATCATAGGTTGTCCTGCACCTTTTCCGTGAGTGGATGCTTGGACCCAAGCGAAGCCTCCCACTCTGCCAGCGCTTTCTTGAGCAGGTTTCGATATATTTGCGCTGCTCAGCGCGCGGGGACGCTGGGCTTTTGGTCGGCGTTGTGGGATCGACATGACGTTTCTTTCCAGAGCTTGGTCTTCCACGGTCGGCGCTCGTTCATTTCTCGCCACCACCTCGCCAAGGCTGGCCTGGGCACCGTGTACGTCGAGTGTACGGAGGCTTCGGCGCCATTCATGTCAAGCCACATTGTAGGCAGGTTGGGAAGTGCAGACCACGGATTTCCAGTTAAATTGCAGAGACAGCCTAGCGCGAAAGAGCTCTGATCCGGGTCGGAAGCAAGCGGTGTCAGGATGGAGCTAGTGAAGGTGGAATATACGCAATGTCGCTGAATTTGGCTGTGTGTGCTGGCGCGTGACGAGAGCCAGCACATTGAAGCCCAAAAGATGACAACGTGGACGCGACTAGGCCTGCAGATTGAAGCCCTGCCGCCCGATGGGGCAGGCGAGATGCACGTGACTAGAAGGTCGGTAGGTCCACTCGATTTCGTGCTTGGCAACGGTCTTCGTTATATCCTTGCTTTGCACTCTGTACAGAAGCTGCGATGAGTGATGGGCTACTCCACCTTTCACATCAATCGTCCGGACCGACAAGTTCTCAGAGCTACAGGAGGAGATGATAGATCTCATCCGGTACGAGGGAAGAAGTCGCTGCCTTCGATCACGCCCAGTCAGTCAGAAGTCCCGTTATGGCGCAAGTGGATCACCTAAAAAGTGAACAGGCCATGGAAATACGATATGATTGAGCCTTCTAGTTTATCAAGGGCCTCAAGCTGGTTGCCTTTTCACAGGCCAAGGTGCGTCGAATTGGGCTGGCCTTGTAACCGGTGAACAGAGTACGGAGGACCGCCCCAGCTAGCTCAAGGAGACCGAAGGGCGGTGAGACAGAGCCTCAAGCTCCCTTCGACTTGGATCCCCAATCTTCGGCAACCCTCATTCTCATTGGATGATATTACTGGCTGGGAGGGAGGCGCAGCGCTGCTGACCTCTTTAAACACAAATATACTCGAGTCTAGGGACGGGTCGTGCCTGATATTCGCCTCATGTTCAGGCTCGGCACTTACCACTTGGCTCGTACGGAGTATACTAAAGGGCAAATTCCCTGTGAAATTCTCACTGCATCAAAAGCCTGCTTCTGAGCGGTATCTGATTTTTTGGTCGCTTCGAGGTAGGACACTGCCCGTGCTGAGATCCTCATATTATTCCACCAGGATTCATGTCTCTACTCGCCGACCAGCTCAACACAGCCACCCAATCTCTACCATCCTTCAAGGATGTATTACGAAAGATCTTTGATCCTATCGACCAAACACGTACGCTAGATTCTTCTCGCAGCCACTCGACCGACGAAGAAACCCACAGTGAAGACTGGGACAGGCGTCACCGGCAGGCCACGGTACCACATATTGTGTCCATAGACGACTCTTCGATCCGATGCTCCGACGATCGTCCTTCGACACATGTGGAAGTCTCCAGTTGCCCGATCTCGTGGGACCGCGAGTTGCATGTCCTCCGCCCACACACACTGCGGAGTCCTGTCTCTTCTCCCGGACGGGTAATGACCGAGACAGAGGCCCCGACGTGCCCAGGCTGGTGCGATTCCCACTTCGCCTTGGGGTACGTGGTGAACTACGTCACCTACGCTGATTATACGACGGCAAACGCCGTCCCGAAGGAGGCTTGCACGGATTGGGCGACGGTCAGCACCACTAAGTCATCGGCTGACATCATGCTATACTTTGTGATCTCGCGGCTAGGGACGCCTGGAGGCAAGGACGGGGAGCGCCCCGTCACAACATTCCTAGATTTTGCCAATCAAGAATTGGGGAAGAATCGTGACGATCCTCGCTTGCTGGTAGATCTGACACGGCCGACAGGAGGCCCATGCCCCCCAATGGACCACCTGCGACGTGTGCTATCGAGTCACATCCCCGCTGGCTGCCCTTGGGATCCCAGGTACGATACCCTTATCGCCCTTCCCGGGCCAAGCTGCGCGACTAGTCCCCGGTACTCGACGAGAGTTTTGGAAGATGGTGATGGTCGGCAGTCGGAGGACTGGTCGGGTATGAACCTCCTCGAATGCCTCACCGAGCTGGCCGACATCTTTGCGAAGGTGGTCAAGGGTGACGCCGCTACGGAGCCGCATTGCCCCCTTCAGATCACAGACAGACTCAATACCTGGTACCAACGGGTGTTCACCCATAACGACCAGCGAGGATGCAGTGATCAGGTGCGGTCGGCAGAGGTCGTCGCGTTGTACGCCCTTTACCACTACACCCGATTGACTCTCCACCAGGCCGGCTGGTGTGTCCATTCCCGCCCGCCGTCGAGCGACGACTACGTCATGTCGAGAGTCAAACAGTCCCGACACGTGCTGGGGACGATAAAATGGCTCGATAAGGGTCAGGGACCGGGTCACCCGACGGAGGTCGAAGTGGCCAGGGCCGCCGGCTGGGACACCCTTACGATGGGCAACCCCTCTTCCCATCTGCGGGATTTGGTGGTGTTAAACCAGGATGGACTGGTAGCCTTCGAAGATTGGGCACGTGTTCACCCGAGCTTCCAAGTCCAAGAGCATTTCAAGCGGGTTCAGAAGAGATTTTGCCCGATATTGGCAGCCTCATAACTTGAGGCGACGCGAAACTGAATCGGGTACACTGGTTGGCGCGGAATTGCAGGCCTTCGACGACGGTGTCTTGCAGGACCTACGAGGGAGGGCTACCATGATCGGGTTAAACCCGCTGACTACCGACAACGTACACGGGTCGTCTGCCAATTCTGATTCTCCCACTTCGCAATTACTCGGAATTCTATCTCAGCACCATCAGCGTGGACATCGCACCAAGATGTGTTCAACGGAGCAGGCAGCGGACAATCTCTAAGATCCTACCGAATCGCCCGCATGGTCCATGATCGGTCACCGTCTTCCCCGCTCTTCTGGCTCTGTCTGGTCTTGTTGTCGCCCCTCCCGGATATATCTTGGGTGGGTCGCATTCACAAAATGATGCACTTGATACCACGTCGCTTAGTGTGTTCACGGTAAGCTGGTTGATGGCGTGGGTCCGGAGAAGTCCCACATGTAGATCCTTTACTTGAATCGACCTGTCTCAGAGGTGCTTGTCGCTGTCTTCTCAACTGCCGAACAACGTCGTAAAAAGCCTTCTCGACGTTAATGCAGTTCTTAGCCGATGCCTCGACGAATTCGCAGCCGAGCTCTTTGGCCAGTGCCTGTCCTTCTTGGGCTGACACTTCTCGTTCGTGACGCTTGTCACTTTTGTTCCCCACCAGCATGACTGGAACGGGACGGGCGTGGGTCGGTTGACCACTGACCGGTGTTGGAAGGCAGTTGGCACCTGTGGGAGAGTGTTGATGTCCAGATTCCTTGACCCTTTGTACCTGAGAATATAATGTCCGAATTTTTTTGAAAGATTTCCAAGAAGTTATACTGTAGACGAGGATAACACCCTCGCCGTCTCGTATCCATTGATCCCGCATTGTCGTGTATTCTTCTTGACCTGCAGTGTCCAATACTTCTAGTATGCACGCTTGCTGATCTATCACTGCCTGTTTCCGATACGAATCTTCGATGGTGGGATCGTATGTTTCAACGAAGTGGTTGAGATATAACTGGATATTGGGTCAGCGAAACGGGCATGTGAGGATGGTACATGGCAAAACCTACCTGGATGGTGAGCGCCGTCTTGCCAACACCTCCATCTCCTAGGATCACCAGTTTATACAATATCATTTTCGCTCCGACCGCCGTGAAGAGAGACGCTGTCGCGTCAGGTATAGCGCCCACCGAGCGTGATGAAGGACGAGACGAACGCCTCCCCTGGATAGGGATAATGTCAACGAGTGCTACACGTTAAGAGGGGAAACGAGCACTCGGGTACAGGGAGTGAACATCATTCGAAAGGCAAGGGAGGCGACGTACTTATTATTCTTAGCGCGGGCCCGGAGAGGTCTTGCAGCTCCGAGGCCGGCATGTCACGTGAGGGGCCCGGCTAGCTTTCCTGCCCGTCCCTAACGTTGAAGCGACGGACTGGCAGACCGCAACACGTACCGATACAACTGGCGAGTGGATAAATGAAGCATCACATCCATGTCTATGGCCTCAGCGTAATAGAACCATTCGGCTGACGCCTAGAGGTCAGTTCGCGTATCCACCATCGTGGTCGTTCCTACTCCGCTCCTCATGGCCTATGGGCACGGGGTCGCCCAGCACGCCATAGACCGTCATGGCTAGACGGGTGTCGTTGGGCATAGCGTGGGGAGGAGTGACCATCTTTGCAGCCTAGGTCGTTACGAAGACGAGGCGGTGCATCGAGTCGAAAAACGTCTTCGAAGCCAAATGGAAATGGGCTTGGACCGGTGTCAATCTATGCGTCCCCAAATATAAGAAAGTGCAGAGCTACAGTATGTATAGTACTGTAACAGAGTGGCACGAGGACTCTTAAGACGTCCTTCTCTGGCACTCACGCCCCCTTAGTCCAATGACGGACAAAGTGCCCTACGGCCAACGAGAGGCTTGAAAGGCCATTCCTGTTGGTTCCAGGGTGCACCAGGAAGACAAGGGTTGATTGGCCGATTCTTCCTGGCCAGTTATGTCCCAGCGAACCATCAGCCTAGATCGGTCGCTGTCAGTTGGGGATTCCTAAGCCAAGAAGTACGATCCGTTGGAAGAATGCCCGTCGGACTCCGACGTCGTCCGTCGATCTCCACTCGCCAGAAATGCATGCGGTCTCGGGCTACAAAAGGTCTATGTGTTCGATCCAATTTCACACCATTGGTCTACAGGGACATCAATGGAAAGGCCAGTCGGAGAGCCATCCAATGAGAACAAGGGGCTGCATCGCGTCTCACCCCATACCTCTTCTGCAAGTTCTCAGGTCCCAGAGACAGAGGCTCACCACCGTGCCAGAGAGAGGACATTCTCCAAGGTATTCACCGCCTTTCCCGACATTCGACGGAGCCGTATCCGATGGCCCGCTGCCACGCACATGCAGTCGGGGTAATGTGGCAATGAAATGACAGTAGGAATAATGGTCTCGGGTCCATGAGATTCTTCGGAATGGAGTGTTTGTCAATTGGCGGGCAGTGAGCATGAACTCGGTCTCGATGAGCGGTCGTACAGTAATTTACCTATGGGCTTATCACTTTACATGGGCTTTCATCGGAAAACTGAGGTCGAATGAGCCAATCCCGGCCCTATAGACGCTCATTGGTGACGTGGTACGGTGCAACTCACGGGTCATATAAAGAAGGCCCCCTACCTCCTATGAACTGCCGTGTTATTTTATCCTCTGGATTGTGACAACCCGCACCATGTTACATGCAGCACGGGAGAAACTCGTCCCTATTCGAGGGCGCCTAAATTCCATCGGTCTCGCTTTATGTCGACTGCTGTGTGGCAAGGACCCGAGGATCCGCGGGCGAGCTTGGCATCGGATCTTTGAGAAGGCTGACTGGCTCAAGAAGGCTGCCAAACTCGGCGCGTGCCCAACGCTGATTGGGACGGACCTCCCAGGCCTGGCGGGTGGACAGGCTAATCTGTACCTTTTACTCGCGGATTTTGACCTGCACGGAGATCTCCGGTACGACATCGACACCTTCCTGGACTGCTTACGTCGACCCTACACCCTCGACAAGAAGCGGTGGGAGGTTTGCCTCGAAGAAGGCATCACGGTCGCTATCCACGCGTTGAAATGGAGCGCGGAGGTCACGCCTGTCGACACGGAGCGAATTTTCACGGACGCTCGCCCTGAGGCGGTTTCGACCTATTACATGTTCTGGGACCACCCCGAGCTTTTCAAGACCCGCAGAGGAAATCTCGGTAGTCAAGGAGGTCCTTCTGCCACCGACCCGATAACTCAAGCGCTTACGCTCCGACCGAGTCACCCCGACTTCGATTGCGTGTTCAAGCTCGTGCACCCCAAAAACGGCCCAATGGGATGGTTTGCGGTTCGTCGTAGGGGTCCGGGTCACGCCCCTGCAGTCCAGGATGGCCCTCGATGACTGCCTGCAATCTTTTCAACTTCAACGATTTCCGAGCTATACCTTATGATAACCAACCTGTTTCGTATCCCCAGATAGAGGGAGTGGATCACTCCGCCGGGGCTCGGTCCCGGCCTCGTGGCTATCACGCAGCCCTTGGCTACCTGCCCCGCTATAACTCCTGGCTGGTCCGGGGTATCTTAGTTTAATCATTGAGACCTAGACCGGTGATCACAATACCGCCTCTAGCTGGCCTGTTTTCACCCCCTTCCGTGACCTTCCCACTTCCCTTTTCATGTTCAATTGCGTGTGAACTTATCGGACATCCTGACTTGCGACTGTGCCTGTGAACAGGTGGCGGAGGTGATGTTCATGGACGGTGCGCTTGTGCTCCACGTCACCCCACCGACCGCGTTGCTCTCACCGTCCCGGGGAGCGCTTCTTGGCTCGACGTTGCCGAGGAAATATGAATCTGGTCGTGTCGAGCACCCCTGTCGCTTCGAGAATGTCGTGGGCAGTGGACCGGTCTTCAACGGCGGCTGCATGCCAGGGGCCGTCACCAACTCATCTCCTTGCATCCCCGTTCTTCTCCACAGTCTGTCTGTACGATAGAGATTGAGCGCTCCTACCGAGCGTCCCATCACGGGTGGCAGGACTGGCCCGGAGACGCGAGATTCAGGCCTCCTGGCGGGTAAACTTGGAAGATGGTGGCGACTACTCCCGGCTGCACCAACGGGGTGCTGAGGTGAATGGATGCAAAGCGGGTCGGAACTTGTGGATCCGGGGAGGAGGGTATCGGAGCAGTGGTAGTGGCTGGGGCGTATGAAAATTGCGGTGGAGGTCGAAATAAAGTTTAGAGCCCGGAAATTTATCTTACGACCCCATATCTTAGGGGCTGGGCATTGAAGCTTACCCACCACGCCCTTGAAATCCTTTTTTCGAGGCCGACATCCTGGGGCCTTTGGGTTCTCCGCCAGCGCTGCATTCGATAGCTCAGGCTATCACGTCGCCTCTGACATGACAGGTTGAAGTCCGACTCGGGCGAGGATGAGCCAGCGGTGGTGATCATCACCGAGGAGTCATGCAGTTCCGTCGTCCATAGTGTCAATGCTAGAAGGCCGGGGCCAACGATGGGGCCCCGTGTTCGCAAAGATAGTTTGGCTGAAGCGGCCGCCTTTCGCCAGGTGGCTTCAGCCGACCGCGACCGGGCCTAGCCCGCTTTGCCTTTGCCGAAAGAGGAAGCCATCAACGCCAGAGGCAGTCATTCGAGGAGGTTTGCTGCCCCAGCAAAGACAAAATGCAGGGGTCGCATCGTCGAGCTTGCGCTAGTGGACCCTAACTCATTGGTGGCTGACATGGGCTTGTTTGTGTCTGTGTCCACACATGCCGGAAGCCTCGGAGTCGACGTAATTTTTTCCACATCCACTTCGTCTTAGGAATGAAACAGTTCAAAAGCCCACCCCACACGATAAAGACAAGTATGGCAGGGTCACCACGGAGTATTCCATCCGGAATCCGCCATAGATCGATGCGCTACGGGCCAAGGGGACGTGATAGTCTTGGGACTGTTGGATTTTAATTCTAGCGAAAATCTTTCCCCTCCGCCGAAGTGCGGTCGTCCCATTGCGATTTTGACCTCGCCAGAGCGAATATATGTTCACAGCCACGTCGAGGGGGAGCCACGGAACCTCACCGGAGCTCGATCTAAAACGAATGGCCCTTCGTGGCTCCACACCTTCCACTATCGCATCGCCCGGGGCCACCAAGACGAACGGACCACGCCTAGGCAGTGGGTTACACTTTCACCAAATACGGATACATTACACTCGTGGATTTGACAATTGATAAGGAACCGCTGGCCGAAGCACGACTTCCATCCTCTGTGGTTCCTCTCAGCGCCAGAGCAACACCCCAGTGGCAATACAAAATATGCGCAGCAGCGCCACCGACCCCATAGTCGCGGTGCCAAGCAGAGGCACATTCGGCATCGAAGTGGCGCTGGTTGCCGGCCTGGATCCGGCCGAAACGATCGAAGAAAGAACACTGGCCGTAGAAGCGACAGAACTTGCCGTCGCGGTCGACGAGTCGGCGTGCGGCGCTTCCACCTCCTGGGAAACTGTGGTGGCCCAAGTGATCGTGGTCTGACTGGTGTACCACTGTGATTGCTGGTCTTGCCAAGTGGTGTACACGACCTCGCACGTGGTGGCGACGGTGAAGCTACAACCGTAGCAGGGCGCGGGTCCAGTCGTGCCCGAGGACGAGCTGGGTTCAGTCCCAACCGAAGTCGAGTTATCGGGATGCGTCGCCACTAGGGTCGTCGTGCAAGAGGAGCTAGAGGTCTCTGAGGAGGAAGAGGAGGCCAGTACAGTGGAGGAGGAAACAGAGGGGGTGATGGTGGCGGTGTTGCCAGGTGAAGATGATGGTAGAGTTTGCGTGGTAGTGAATATCACCGTGGTGGGGACAGACGTAATGATCAAGGTCGTGGCGACCAGTGTCGTGGTCATTGGTGTTGTGATGACCGGCTTTGTAGTGGCTCTAGTCATGCTACTAGAGAACCAATCATGCCACTGTAGAGGCCGCGAACGGATAGGGACCGTGGCCGACACGACGAGCACGGTCAACGCCCAGATGTAAGCTCCGTACAATAACATCCTTGATGGCATTAGAAATGATGAAAGGAAATACAGTAAGCGATGGGATGACAAAGAATGGAGAAGGGAAACTCGACACAGGCGGACAAGAGAATGAACTCTCTATTGAAACGAACGAACGATAGGTCTATTACTGGTATGTAACAGGCTGACAGGTCCAAAACAAAAGAGCTTTCAAATAAAGTGCTACAGTAGGAGAGATTGTGCGCTCCGTCAGATGGATGTTACCCTTCACCTGTCTGGACTTCGCAAGTATCCTGGAAAGGAGCACAGTCCGGCTCTCTGTACCTCACCATTTCCTCCATTCCATTGGACAAAGGTTGACCGTGAAGGGTCTATCTCGCGCCCTATCACAAGGACCGCACGCCGATGTACACACCTTTTGCGGAAACCAGGGGACCAATCATCTCGCGTCTTCCAAGAGCGAGCACTCAGCTAGCATACCATGGGTCTCCTGTGGACCGGCCATCGAGCATTCCAATTGACCGCTGCGCCATTGATCTTGGCCAGCGGTCAGCGACAGCTCAAATTATCACTCACGAAAAGGGAGGTACTGTAGTACGAGTGTGGCAGAGCTGGATTTTGGCCCGAACCGGGAACTCAGAGCCTCCGAACCCTATATGAACAGCGGTCGAGGATATGCAGTAAGCAATGATAGGAAATGGGATTGGTCTATGAGTTGGTATGTACCTCTCACTTCCTCATGGCCGACGAAGCAGGGCATGGACGCGCCGTCTTTGCTGCCATACAGTGCTGCAGCTCTCCTCGAGCACGTCCGGGCGTCGATGCTGCGGGGTCGAGGCTGCCGAGTGGCAGAGAACTAAGGACATGGATTCTGGTGGCGTTAGAGGGACAGTGGAGGCGGCGTGGTCAGTGGCATGTCGGCGCTCAAGTCGTCCGGGTTATGGACAAAGTCTGCGTCGCTGTCATCACCATGCTCCATGAACGGCCCTAGGTCTCTGGCCCGACGAAACTTTGACCGTGACTTTCGGGAAATGCTGGTGCTTTTGCCTCGAGCAGCGGCTAGGCTCGTCGGCGAGTTGGCCGCTCGTCGGAGTGCTGCAGAGAGAGGCCGAATGGGCTGTATCGTTCCGATCGGGTTCTGGGAGATCATTGTCGCTGCTTGCGCATGAAGTGGCAACGGATGTCGCAACTTTGAGGGGGTCAAAATGGGCCAAAACGGCTCTTGATTGACTATGATGGTAGGAAAGAGCAAGTTATGACTGTGTCATATTGTTGTCCACCTAGAAAAGAGAGGAGAGGAGAGGAGAGTACTGTAGTGGGAAGAAAGTAGGGTGTAAGTGCGCTTGACGCTGCCATGTCACAGCGACCCACTCTTTGTACCACTCCCATCCTCCTCAGACAGCCCTATATATTTGTCCTCTATCTACACGGTCCCGGTGGCCATTCCCATGCGCTACAGTCCTCAGTTACTCTTCCGAAACCAACCCTCGCCACAGTAGACGAACAAAGCAACTTCCTTACTACTTATATTGCCAGAGACGAAACTCCTCCATCATTCAGCTGAAGCTGTATGTGATTGTTCCCCAACGATTTGTACAACGAGCAAGACTATCTGAGTGACCTTGGAGTGGTACAACTCACAATTCTCTTGACGACTGTCAAAGGCAATCCCAGAAATTTCGGTGAGGCTCCTAAGTACCCTTTGCGCGAAGTTCAGTGCCTGGAAAGGAATTAAATGACAACGCTGGGATCTCCGAAATCGCTGGGTTGTAATTTACAGCCCTGAACAAGTCTATGTAGTGACGTGTTGTACTAGACCTAACAAGGGCAGGACAAAGCCGCGCCCGAACTTCAAACCTGCCCCTGACTGGAGCCAGAGATCAGCGCCAAGTCGCACGAGGGAGTCGTCCAACCCACGATTGTCGTACGCTCCGCGTAGTTACAGCGTGCTTTAGGCACCGTTCAGGTGTCCGGTCCCGTCACGAAAAGATCATCCCGGACGCACAGATTGTTGGGGAAGATCACCACCATCGACGGCGTCAACCCTCAGCTTTCGATCTGAACGACAACGGATGGATGCCCCGCTCCATTGTCAGCCGGCGCCCCGTGGATAGAAACGCTCTTTTTGAGCCTCTGGCAGTATTGCTTGACGTGGGAGGCCAACAGATGGCAATGCTCGGCCCGTGAGATGAGGCAATTTACCTCTTGCCGCGTTGACCGGTGTCGGACACACGGACAGGACATCGAAAATCTGAGCGTGATGGCCTCTAATGCCGGGAAGGATTGAAACGCGGTGCAGATCACGTCAATGACTTCCACTTCGGCCAACGAAAGGAATGCACCGTTGATCACGGCCTCCAGTCGCTCCGCCACGGCCAGCGGGGATCGGTCTCGAAGTCTGGTGATCCGACTCAAACCCACCCGGTGATACTCTAGGACCATTCGTCGAATCCACGCCGACTCCACCCCTTGTAGCCCGAGTTGGTAGCGCACCAAGAGGAGTCCCTCGGACGTAGGTTTGCCGAAAACGAGCTCGTTTGCTTGGTAAAAGACCATCATGCCCTCTCGCCTCAGCAAGTGGCATGTCCTCAAGATGGAGCAATCCCGGGAGACGACCTGCGACAAAGGGACTGGATCTCGGTACACCACCAGGAAGGAGAGTATGTGGAGTCTCACCTCGGGTGGTAAGTCCAACATATTGACCCTGGACGTCCATCAAGGTAAGGGAAGGCCCGTACCTTTGTAACTCGTCCGTTCTCCCAAACACTGAAGGTGAGGGATGCGATCGAGGCACAGTACTGTAGACACCCGGGGACTCTCCGTACTTTTCATCTGTCGAACAGGACGAAGTGTCCCTAAATCAGACCTGGATCGTAGCAAATCACACGTCCGGCCACGCGCAGAGGAAATCAACGCCATCCATGGTATGCAATCCTCCGTGAAGATAGGCCCTGCAGCCAATCATCCTCGAACTTCGCGGTCGGCCGCTTACGTGGTATAGTGTCGACCGTGAAAAAGAAGTCTTCTTCGCTGGTTGGGATGTGTATGGAGTACTGTATGGTGACCCATATTACAAGCTCTACGACCTGTCGGACACTTGCGCGAGACTGGAGTGAGTGGACCGAGAGCTAGCCATCGGCCGTTTCAACAAGGCCCGACCGACACGCTCTGGTCGTCCAGAACCAGCACAATAGCGTGTGGTGGCCCTTTTTTCCTAAGTTTACCACCCTTTCATCGTTCGATGAGGAATCGCGGGTCAGTCTGGCTCTCTCAGGCGCGGTGCGGCGAGCTCACCGCTGGGGTTACCGCGAACCAAGTGGACTAGTATTTCACGTCAATGCAGTCCCGGTTTCCTTGCTGGATTTCTCTTGATATACCCCTCCCATCCACAACGTGGTTGAGTCTATGAATTCACCTGCATCGTCCGATAGTTGCGTCGACGTTCCACATTGCGTTTGCTGGAGCTGAGTACCGTATCGTAACTACGTAGTTTATGAACCTGTCGTCCTAGATCTGGGCATCGCTAAAAGACATTTATTGTTCAAACGGGACGATGGAGTCAAGGCTTCAGGACAAGGCTGCAAGCCCTCTTCTGGAGGAGGCACGTAGAAATGCTCAACCGCCCCCTTCGGGTTGAATTGGAACTAGTCCCACACTGGGGCATAGAAACAAAAAGGCAAATCTACATGCGCCAGCTGCACGATACATCAAAGAAGTCCAATCGGCTTAGTCATACAAATCGAGGGCGGGATAACGTTGCAACAGACAAAGCATCAACCTTGTTGGCCCTTCCGCCGACGGCAACTCCGTAACCAATAACGGAGGGTCAATTAGGGGCGACGGCCCCAGTCACCCTTCTAGTGACGGCGGCGCGGCACACTCGACAGAGAAGGAAAACCTTCGGGCCTTCATCGCTCCCCGCGGCATCGAGCCGTGCGTGTCCCACTCGGGTCCAGGACCCCCGTCGCCCTCGTCTGCGCGATCGATCAGGACCCAGCCCCGCTCCTCGCTGGCTGGTGACGGTGGTTGGACCTCAGACAAGGTCGACTCGGTGGATGTCGAACCCCAGCGCCCGCGGCCGTCCCGAGTCGAGTAGGTGTCTGTCAGAGAGGCACAGGGCCGGTGGTGGAAAGATCGGAAACCGGGACGGAAACAAGGGCCAAGATCCTCGAATGTGTCGTCGACCGATGCCCCTTGACCAGGGGTGGGGGAATCGCCCAAGGGGGAGATCCTCCCAGGGCCCGCTCTCCCTGAGGAACTCGGTCGGCAATCTGCCCAGTCAGGGCTGAACCGGAGGCGGTCCGTCGCCGTCGCCTCAAGCTCCTCAGTCCGGACGGCTGGGACGGCTGGGACGGGCGGAGTCGTCTCCTCCGTGGGACTCGAAGCCGTTTCTGGCGTGGCCATGAGTGAGGAGGATCGCCTCAGCCAGCTGACCGCGAGACCGTAAGAGCAGGACGAGAGAAAGAGGGGACGGACAGCCTCACCTATCATCAATCAAGGGCGATCTGGTGCGGTTTTGGAGCGCACTAAATCGTGATCTGACCGGCGTCGGCAGAGCAGGTCTCGTTTCCCCCCAGTGAGCGTGTCTCAGATGCGCCATGGATCCAGCGCAGATCTGCCGCTCGACGCCGTCTGCGAGCAATCGACGATGGAGCCCCGGCTCGACTGGCGATTGTGGTCTCGTGACCTGGCGACGCGTGCTGTTGCTCATGGTTAGGTGGCGGTGTTCACGGATGATCACGGCCGGTCTCGTGGGGGTGTCGGCCTGGTCTGGTCTGGTCTGGAAAGAGGAGTCTGACCGCGCGACGGCGGCGTAGCCGGTACTTATCTTGCCCGAAAACGCTCACATCGACGATCTTCTTCAGGCCATAGTTCACAAGAATAACCGTTCTCCTTTTCGGGATCAGTGGTGTCACGAGGCCTGACAGAACGGCCAATGACCCGTCTTGCCCTGTAGTATTCAATATCGTCCAGTACTGACGCTTATAATCAGAGCTCCCGCATTTATTCTTTTACAGACTTTTCGGGCTCCACGATGGCTCGTTTCGACACTTCCAACAAATCATCGTCCGCCACAACGGCGTCCCGGTGAAGCCCTCGTGTTTCGCCCAATTGCGATCCACCGCCGTGAGCACGTCTTTGTCAAGCAGCGAGTCCGGTGGTCCTCACGCTGACCAGTTGTGTGCTTCAACCTCCACAAAGATGGCGAGCTCTTGTCCAGTGCCAGTTACGGGAGAGATTCTTTCGAAAATACCCGCTGATGTATCGTGAGGGTAGTGTTGAGTGGCAATACAAATAGGTTGACCATACTATGTACGTCTGCGACCGCTTTAGGCGTAACCAACCACACTTTCTCCAATCAATGAAGAACCGGGATAACACCAGGGCGACGAACTAGGGAACAAAGTTCGGCAACCCACACTGTACTGTAACACCAAGTCGACCAGAGAGAATGGGCGTCTAGAGGCGCAGACCCGGTTGTGGGCTTCTAGATCTATACTTCTCGTGCCCAGTGTGGTCGGAAAGGAATAGGAAGACGGTCCTTGTTGCCTTTCAAGACCTAGTTCAGAAGAAAGATGTTGTGATCCGAAACGCTAAGCTGTACTGACCCAGTTGGTTCCTTGAATATACGACTAGGAGGCTGAAGGGAACCGTTCCCATCCAGATTATCCCAATGCAGGTCCATATATAGATTGGCGTGTTTCCTAATCGAGTTTGACAATGATGAGGGTGAGGACAAAGAGAGAGAAGAAGCGGACGAAGCAGCGTGGAACGGGTAGTGGGGATCATCAGGGTCGTAAAGTTTACAATACAATCTGTACTTATGTTGACAATACCCGATAACCCAAAAGAGTACCCAGCCGTCTGCAGAAGGGATAACGGCCGCTGGATAGGACTGCGACCGCTCTCAACCGGCAAGGCATTCACCTTAGTGCCAGCAAACTATTTATTTGCCTCTTCCTGCCTCTCTGTTGAACGTCGTTGGTCAGACTCTGCTAATACCAGTTGGCTGCCGATAAGGCTGAGATTCGCCCACCAGCCAGGCCACAATACTCGGTGCCAAACCCTCCACTCATTCCCCTCACGACTAGCCAAACTCTACTCCACCTTTCTGCCTACTAAATTTGGGGGTGACAGGTCCGCAAAGCTAGCTTCCGCTGCCTTGCGGACCACCCGTGGTGGGGTCCTCGGTTGCCTATTGGCGGTGTATATAACGAGTCGCGGCCTCAAACGACGGGTTGGAACCTTCCAGACTCCGACGCTCGATTTCCCCTCCAAACACGTTACCTCCACAGTGGCGATACCGACCCTCTCACAAGCCAGAAAGTCCCCACCCTCTCCTTTACCCACTGAAAACTTGGAGCTTACCTCGGACATGGATGAAACACTGAGTCAAGCGTCGACCTTGTCTGTCCTGGAAGAAGACGGGAAGGCGAATCAAAGTCAGCAACAAAGCTTCCCATGGAAGACCTTCAAGAAGTGGACCAAGGACGTACTTGATCTGCGAGGTTCATGGAACTGTTGTGACCCTTCGCTCGACGACGTGGATGACAAGAACGGGGGGCAACACACTCGCCGCACGGCGGCCCCGACTCAAGTGAGCATATCCCCATCATTGCCACGTTCGGTATCGCTTGGGAACCGAGGCCCACTAGTATCTCGTCCCTTGCAGTCTTCAGGTCAAATTAATGTCGCCGCCTTACAAGATAATGGGAAGGAATCTCAAAGGAATGAAGCCTCAGCCCCAGCAGCCAATGACATCCCTCCTGACCAAGAGGTTCGAATGTTCCTTCAGCCAGAGACGCGATCCATCAGCCAAGAACAGCTGGTCAATGAAGTCAAGGGCATCTACGCTGGCCTTGTGATGGTGGAGAAGAAATGCATGGAAATATGTCAGTCCCAGTCTCAAACAACAAACAAGCTGTCGAATGAGCAGTGGCAGGCCCTCATCGCCTTACACCGCACTCTCCTTCATGAGCACCACGACTTCTTCCTAGCCTCTCAACATCCCACCGCA